CCACCCAGTGCCCTGCAGTGCCACTGCTCTGCCTCTGGCCCCATGAGCCCCACCCCTGTGTGTCCGTCCCCATGCACCAGAGTGGGGTGCGAGGCCAGCGCTGCACTGCCAGCACCCTGCACCTCAAAGGAGCAGGACTGCCCCTTAGCCCCTCAGTCCCCACAGTCATGGCAGCACCATCCCCTTCTTTACAGTCAGAATTATAAGCTTAAATAGATAAAGGCATGGGGTGCTGTTGGATGTGGCAACAAAGCTGGATTCTCCTCTGCCCCATGCGCCCTCCCCCACCCCCACTCCAACCCCTCTGTCCCTGCTGCCATGGGGGGGCATGGGCGAGGATGGAATTCTGCCCCCACTTCTCATCCGGTCTCTGCTCCTTGGAGGCAGAGGGGGACAACAGGGACGGTGCTGCCATGACAGTGGGGACTGAGGGGCTGGGGGGTGCCAGGCCAGTGGTGTTGACCTCACCCGCCAGCTATGTTGCCACCATCTCCAGGGAGCAGGGCAGGGGACGGGGGGTAGGCCAGCAGTGCTGCCCCCCTCCCCCTTGCCTTCCCTCATTCTGTCCCCGCTGTCATGGTGTTACTCCGCTGGACCCCTGCCATTGCCTCCTGTCCAGAACACTCTTGAAGCACACTGATTGGCTGCTGAGACAACCAATCAGAGTGTGAATAAAGCATTATGGATAGACAGGCCGACAGACTAAGGTTTTTATAATATTAGAATTGGTATTTACATACCTGAAGCTGATTTGATTCAATCTTCACAGGTTAGTCTGCGTAGATTGAACCAATAAGCAAGTGAACAGGCATTCACTTTTGATTCCGGAAATGCAACCACATGCCTGCCATGGCTCAGGCCAGAAGCTAGGGGGCAGTAGAGCATTCCTCCCTCCTGGGCTGGAACAGATAGCTTGGGCCAAGGCTAGCCAGCCTACTCAGTTAAGCAGGGTTTGTAGAGGAGGTGCAAACCATCCTGGGATGATGGGGGATTGTGAGTTAATTTGAATCTGGAGGAGATCTGGGACAGAAGTTCAATAAACTGATTTAAGTTAAGTTAGTTAAGTCTAATACTACATTCATCCAGGTTTATCTTAAAAAGTTCTTGGCCATTTAGAAAGTGGTTTACATGCACTAAACTTCTGTTATGTTACAGATTTGAACTGGATTCTGATCACTTATACTGGTTTATGTGTAATTTCTGTTCCTATTTTAAGATGCACAAACCTTCTCCCCAGGTAACCACAGCTTCCTGCTCTTCTCCCAAGCAAAACACTGGCTCAGACTCTCCGGTTTGCTGACCTGTTTGCTCACTCCTGTATTGCTGACTTAAAATATTTGCTTAAGAAATAGTTCCTTAAGCAAATATTAGTTGCTAGGTCTCTTTTAATTATCAGAATATTTAAAACAGTAATTACTGGAAAAAATGATTTTGTATAATCACAAAATTAATAGCTTACAATGTTAAATGTTCACTGTATGATACATTACCAGTGGTAAATAGACTATTTAAGTAGGTTACTCCAATATAACTTTCAATGTTAAAAATGTGTGCCTTATCACCAGGGATCCAAGTTTTCCATTCACAATGGAAAAATGTGGCAAAACCCAGATGTTTTCATTTTAAGGTGAAGAACATGGATTTTCTCCTTTAAAGGAGAAAAACGTGGGTTTCTCCTTGCAGGCTGCCAGAATTCTAGCCTGCAAGAGGCTGGAGGGAGTGGGAGAAGGGAAATCAGGCAGGGAACACCACATGCATGTGCACATGGACACATCCAAATGGCAGCCTGGAGAGCAGCTCCCTGCAGGTCAGTCTGGTGGGGCAGGGATTGAGGCTCCCATAGTGATGGAGGGAAGGAGGCAAGGAGGTGGGCAGGACTGGGGCTGCTGTCCAGCTGGGGTGGGGCTTGGGGCCCTGGGCTATGTGCAGCTGCAGGGCCTGGGCAGGGAGCAGGATGGAGCCACAGGCAGTTCATCCGGGGGAGGAGAGGGGGCTGGCTCCCCACCACTGCAAGCACTCCTGGGGTGGGCATGGGGGGTGCATACTCCTTCAGATATGTGCACGGGGCAGAGGTGGGCTTTCTGCTATGGTCTTGGCACTCCCTGCCTGCTGCCCTCCTCCCAGGGCCTCCCCGGTGCCACAGGTGGGACCCAGCGCAGCAGGGCAGAGTGGTGCGAGGAAGCTCAGTGCCACCGTTGCAAGCCCCGCACCACCATGGCAAAGTGCCTCCTGCCCGCCCGGCAGCAGCAGGGGTATGGTGCAGAGTTGTGCCCCTCGCTGCTGCTAGACAAGCAGGGAGCACCTTGCCGTGGCAACACAGAGCTCCCAGGGGTGGCAGCACCCGGGGTGTGGGGGAGCTGGGCTCCACGCTCTGGTCTGCCACAGTAGCTGCTGCCTCTCATGGGAGGCAGATGGGGCTTGGGGTATTGCTGGTGGGGAGCAGGGAGATGCTGACCTGGGTCCCTGGCCGCATAACCCTGGCAACTGGGAGCCCCCTCTGGCAGGTCGGGGGTGGGGAGGGGCGCTGTGTGTGGGGAGTGAGGGGCACCAGCAGAGCCCAGGGGGCTATGGGTGGTGGGTGAGGGGCACCAGCAGGGCTGGGTGGGCTGTGGATTGGGAGTGAGGGGAAAAGGCATGGGCAAGAGCAGGGAACCGGCGTATCAGGGCTGCTCAGCACCACCAACCAGTGGCAGGGGACAGTCGCAGCTGGACCCACATCTTGGTGAGAGAAGCGAGTAGGGAGAGCTCTGATTTCTATCCTGCCCTGCCTTTATTTCCCTCTCATATGGGGAACAGGGCTGGCTATGCCCTTAGGGAATGGGGCTTTTCCTCATTTCTACTGATGGCGGGGGGAGGGATCAGAATATTCATCTTCAGTGTTTGATGGATTAGTGGATGGATTAGAATATTCATCTTCAGTGTTTGATGGATTAGGATTAACAGAAAAGTCGCTATTGAACTAGGAAACGTGACTGTAAGCTTGCTCAATTGTCCTGATCCTAGAGAAAATACCAGTAACCTCAAAAAACACCAATCAGTGATAGTGCTGAACAGGGAATGGATCAGATCAGAAGCTGCACATTTCTTAAGACTTCTAGACATAAGAGAAAAAACAAATGGGGGAAGACCTGTTTTTTAATAGGTAATAGTCTGACAAGATGTTTTTCAATTATTTAAAAAGTAAGCATTTTAAAATAATGTTTTTTCAGTTAAAAACATTAAACTCCTTGTTATGATGTACATTTTATGTTGTGAATTCAGTACTGTACTCTTCTTATTTTTCTAATTGCATTCTTTGGGTTTATAGCTACAGAATACAGGTTAATAAACTAACTCATATTTATAAAATCTTTCCTATAGATTGTTGTGGAGGAGTTCTTGGAAGATGTAAATAATATTCTAAATTCTGGTGAAGTGCCTAATCTGTTTGAAAAAGATGAGTTGGAGCAAGTACTGGCAGCTACAAGACCCAAAGCCAAAGAAGTAGGAATACCAGAGGGGAACAGAGATGAGGTAGAATATTCCCTGCAGATATTAATATATTGTACTAGATAGCTTGATAAATGAAAGTTATTAGATTTCTTGTTTTGGAAGAAGTAAGTATAAGCATTTTAACACATGCCTTATCTATTTCTTATCATCTAATCTGGAAAGAAGAGGAAATTGCATTTGCTTTACACTTGGGGAAGGTCAATTTGCAGGTCTTCTAATGAGTGCTGCTGCTCTGTCGTGTATGGAAAAAAATATTTATGTTCTGCCCTTGGAGACCAGAGTTCAGCCAGGGTAGGTATGTGGGTATTTCAGAAGGGCCAGCAAACCATGTCATCCAAATGAATTATTGAAAGCATCAGTAAGTAAAGATTGCTGATCATTTAGGAAATTTGCACTTACAGTTTTTAGTACCAGAATTTAAATTAGCGCTTTACCTTGTGAGAACCACTTCTTTTCAGCATGAAAGAGCTGATGAAGGGCATCTTGGGGTGTCTGTATGCGTGCTCTGGGGGTAGTGGAGGAGGAGGGGGCACTTTAATTACAGCAGCTCTTGGGAGCTGCTTTAATTAAAGCACCCACAATGTCTTGTGTATTCAGCATCCCGCACTTCAAAACGGCTGCAGGGGCGCTTTAACTGAAGCTCATTCAATGAGCTTCAGTTAAAGTGCCCCTGCGGCCATTTTGAAGCATGCGGACACTGACTGCATAAGACACTGAGGCTGCTGGAGTGTGATAATTAGATTAATTGAGCCTGCTACAGTGCATCAGAGCAGGGATCCTGCACATCTACAGGCATGCTGAATGACCACACAGCATTTCAAAAAATGAAAAACAAATCCATTGGATGGTCTTTCAAGAAGTTCCCTACTTTATTGGTTTTGTGAAGAACCTGACAGGTTTTCTCAAATAAAGCTTTCTTCCGTTCTGCTTGTATGCAGCAAACATGTTTTATGGCTTCTGTTTCCTCTGATCTGTTTGTTTTGTTCAGTTGCTGCTGCGTACCTTACTTGAGTGGGAAATTGGAAAGGCAGACAGTTTTTGACAAAATCTTGATTTATCTGGGCAAACCAATCAGTAGCAAGGAGCAATTACTTCTCTGAATTTAGAACATCCAGAAGAGAGTGGCAACTTGTTCAGTGTCCTTTGCAAACCATGTAAGATTATATTTCTATTTTGACACACTATTGATCACAAACCTCTTCCAGATGTCTACTACACTAAAAGATAGAAGAGAAAAATATCATTATTAAGTTGGGCTTTGCTTTATTAAAATATACACTTAGCTATATTTATTACTTTGGCCTTAGTCAAGCACCAAGATTTGTAAACAGTATCTTTGGAAGATCAGTTCAGAAGTAATCTTGGTTAACATGACAGTAACAGTAGTGAATAGTACACATCTGAACAAACAAATGGATGAATAAAAACCAATTAATTCAAAATAGAAACTTTTTGAAAAACAGGTTGGAAGACAGAAAGTTGTGATTTTTGTGCCCAAATGCTGTGCAGTGAGCAATCATCCCCTGCAGATCTTTTCAAATGTAACTCCTTCAAAAGCCAGAACTTTCAGGAATCTTATCCTAATCTCATCTTCCAAAATAATAGCTGCTGAAGCCTGTTGTCTCTTAGATCCTTTCCCAACCCAGCTAACAACTATTAGGGCCAATGAATCAAAATGAAGAGTTCAGGTAGATTCCCACTTTCCTCTGGAAAATAGCTAAGGAGTAGCCACTTCATCCCAGGAATGTGGATACAAAGGATCTTTCAGAATTTCTAGATAAATTTTCTCTTATACAGTGAAAAACAAAATCATCATGATATGTTTCAGGTGATGAAGAGAATAGAATGAGCTTTTTTCTAAAACAAAAATTAGTAGAGGTGCACCAATACATTGGTCTGATATCAGATTGGTACTGATATAAAGAAAATTGTCTGTATCAGAAATCAGCCCAATGCAGATGATAATTTGGCTGATAAATGCCGGTGCATGTGCGCAGCCACAGGGCAGCATGCAGGCAGCGACGAGTACAACCCAGCAGCATGGAGAGCTGTGTGCAGCTGGTAAGTCCGTTGTGGTGGAAAGGGAGGGAAGAGGCATGGGGGGACAGATCAACGCCCCTCACGGTGAGTGTGGGAGGGGGCACGGGCAGACACTGCCCAGCCAGGGTGGGGCGGGGTGCGGGAGGGCAAGGGAGGGAAGCATGTGTCTCCAGATCTGCACAGGGTGGGGAGGGCAGGCTGCAACTCCAGGCTGGAACTGGGGCTGCGCCAGGCTCTTCTCAGAGGGTGGCTACAGAAGGGGCTACAGCCACCCTAAATTTCACCATAGCCCCACTCCCAGTGCCATTGCTGCATGCCCAGCACAGCCCTGGCTCTTCCCAGCACGTGGGGGGAGGCGAGGGTTGAGCCAGGAAGAGCCAGAGCTGTGCTGGGTGCACAGTGGCAGTGCTGAGAGTGGGCTATGGCAAAATTTGGGGTGGCTGCAGCCCCCACTGTAACTGCCCACCTCAAGCCCAGCCCCCACCAAGAAGAGCCTGGCGCAGCTATGGCTCCAGCCCGCAGCTGCAGCCCATCTACCCCACCCTGTGAAATCCTGGGGCACACATCCCCACTGCCATCCCAGGGTGTGCGCAGCAGCAGGAGCTGCCACCCCCTCACCCATGCCCTCTCATGGAGCCGTGGCTTCCTCCTGCATCCTGCTCTGCCCCAGCTGAGCAGCGCCTGCCCCAGCCCCTGCCCAGTCCCTCCCTCACTGCGGGGGACATTGATCTGGCCCTCTCACATGTCTTCCCTCCCCCCTCCCCTTCCACCACAACAGACTTAGCAGCTGCATGTAGCTCTCCATGCTGTATCGGAAATCAGATTGGTATTGGCCAATATGCTTACTTAAAAACCAGCTATTAGTATCAGCCCCCAAAATCGCTATCGGTGCACCCCTAAAAATTAGTAAAAAATAAAACATTTGTTGACAAAGTAAGAACAGTATGTGGTAATGAAATAAGTGGACAGCTTGATTAAGAAATCAGATATCAGAGCAGAATGAAAAAATAATTAGAGAAGTTTTAACATATATTTAATAGTTCTTGGCTCCTAAAATACTGTTCAGAGTGTTGGGAAAAAGGACACGTAAGATCACAAATTCTCTTTCTTAAATAGATCAAATAAAGGATCTGTGGATTCATAGAGGTATTTCTTTCTTTCACTTCCAAGTCTGGCTTGTGAAGAATATATGAATAGGTGGAGTGAGAATACTACTCTTTGCTCTCTCTTGGTTATGCAGACCTGTTTCCATGTTTTAATACAGGAATCTTATTCCCAACCTCAGAAAAAATGAATGTATCACAACCACCTTTGTCATGGTCAGGCCGCAGTTGGAGTACTGCATCCAGTTCTGGGCGCCGCACTTCAGGAGGGATGTGGACAACATGGAGAGGGTCCAGAGGAGGGCCACCTGCATGATCAGGGGGCAGCAGGGCAGACCCTGTGAGGAGATGCTGAGGGACCTGAACCTGTTCAGCCTCCACAAGAGAAGGCTGAGGGGGGATCTAGTGGCCATTTACAAACTAGTCAGGGGGGACCAGCAGGCATTGGGCGAGTCCCTGTTCCCCTGAGTGCTACCAGGAGTGACTAGAAATAACCGTCACAAGCTGGCAGAGGGTAGATTCAGACTAGACATCAGGAGTCGCTACTTCACAGTCAGAGTGGCTAGGATCTGGAACCAACTTCCAAGAGAAGTGGTGCTGGCTCCTACCCTGGGGGTCTTCAAGAGGAGGCTGGATGAACACCTTGCCAGGGTCGTTTGACCCCAGTTCTCTTTCCTGCCATGGCAGGGGGTCAGACTTGATCATCTGCTCAGGTCCCTTCCGACCCTACCAACTATGAAACTATGGTCTCTTGACTCCTCTAGATTTTAGGAGGCTTCTCCTGGCAGACTAGGAATCCCCTTCATTCTTTGTATCTGCCATTTTCTGAGTTCAGGATGTATACTAAAAATTCTAATGATCCTTTTTTAAAAGTGGTGCTTAAAAGTGCTTCTCTAGGCAAAGCCACTTTTTGAACTGTTAGACCTCTTTATTTCCTTTGGGTAAAAATTTATAAGCTAAATGAGTATAAGATCTATGATTATTGTTTATTAAAATCTCGACTAGCAATTTAAAGATTTTCTTCATGTTTTCTCTGAGAAAGTAATTGTTAGACCAATTCCTGAATTCGTGACAGAGGTCATTTCTACTTTTCAGTCTTGATTCTCCACAGCCTTATACCAGTACATAGAGGGTATGAAATATCACCAAAACAGAATAGTCATATTTCTTAGCTACTTTATGCTCAGTAATTCAGTCAATGACATTCAAGGTACAAGGCCATAGATAATCATGTCCTTCATTTGAACCAGAGTATTGATTCACTTTCATTATTTTAAAATCAGGTCATTCAACACAGAAACTGGTGCAGAACCTCAGTTTTCACAATACGCAACCTCAGAGGAGGTCAGGCATCTTGTCATTCTTCCATGGAGGTTAAATAAGAGGCTTGAATGTGTCTTAGCCATCTTTCTCTAGATAGATAGAATTGGTTATTGAAAAGCATGAAGTGAACAAAGCTGAATGTGAGTTGAATTCCATCTCTGATAGTCTCAGTTATGTTTTCTCATAATGATAACCCAAATCCACATTTTCCCATGATTTAGGTGAAACACCACTAATATAGAGATATTTATATACTAGCAAATTGCCTATCAAGAATGAGGGGGCAAGGGGTGGGTGGGAACAGAGCCCCGCATCCTGCCCCACGCCCCTCCTCCCCCCGTGCATCCTGGCCTGCCCCCCACGTCCGGGCCTGCTCCCTCCCCACAGCTTGGGGTCTGGCTCTACCACCATTGGTGCTTGGGGTCTGGCTGCCCCCCTGTCAGTGCTCGGGGTCCAGCTGCACCCCACTCCACGTGGGGTCTGGCCCTGCTCCCTACCCCAAGTCATCACTCAGGGTCTGGCTGCGCCCCTCCCCCCCGCCTATCGCCATTCGGGGTCTGGCCGTGCCTCTCCCTGCCACCTGTAGCCACTTGGGGTCTGGCTGCACCCCCCCCCTCGTCCCACCACCACACACTTCTCTGGCAGTGGTGCAAACTGGGGCACGTGCAGGCAATCGCCACTCACCCTCTCGGCAACACATGCTCAGTTTGGCAAAAGCATTATGGACAAACAGGCAGGCTGACACAGAGACTAAGAATTGTATTATATTAGAATATAGTAATGTTTCATTTTAATCATGGAAAAATGAGGGTTTGGGGTTACTTTTTTTTAACTGAAAATTGGGGATTTTTAAAAAAACAGGATCCCTGATGATAACGTTCACTACAAAGGTGCCGTGTCTACATGAGACGCTGACTACACAATCATTACCGTGCAGTCATTTAGTACTTCTATAAACAAGTACTAAATGAATGCACAGTAACCAGAGATACTGTGCAGTGACGTCACTGAATGGCTTTTAAGTGATACTGACTGTGTAGTAGCTCATTACTACTGCATGGTAGCGTCAAATCATGCTTTGTGCTACGTGACTACTGTGCAGTAGCAATGAGCTACTGTACAGTCAGTGTCCTGGCCAGGAAGAACCCATCATAATGATTTTTAATAGTATTGGAAAATTTTACTGTTGATGATTTTTTTTTAAAGCATTATATTCCAGCTAAAATGTTTAAGCTTTGGAATGACTTTGCTGGCTATACAGCTCTCTTTGGAGCATTAAATGTGAAGGCAGGACTTTTCCATGAGTTAATCCTTTGGAGGTGGTTAAGCAGGATGAGAAACCAAATGGTCGGAAAAGAATGTTTTTCTCTTTTAATAGCAAATATGAAAATTCAGGCTTTAGGCAAAATTTTATAATTTTTGCTGCATTTGAAATGGATTTGGCATGTTAAAGTAAGCATGCAGGGAAATGAATTATTCATTTATTATTTTGCCAAACCTCTACAAACTAAGTAACCTAAAATGATAGATTTTTTACCTCTTCACAGGCAATATCTGAGACTAGCCACAAATTTTAGACATATAAATGGCCTGTTAGTCATTTAGCCAAGGCAGGATTGTTGCCCACAGTATATGACTGGGCTAGATTTCATTTGAACGAATAATATCATCATAATCTCTTTATTTATCTTGTAAACTGTTGTATGTGCTTTTCAACAGGTGTTTCAATTCTTTATTAATCGAGTTCGTCAGAAGCTGCATATTGTTCTCTGTATGAGTCCCGTAGGAGAGGCTTTTAGAGCACGATGTAGGATGTTTCCATCCCTTGTGAATTGCTGCACCATTGACTGGTTTGTGCAGGTTTGTACTAGCTAAGCTGCAAAAAGTACTAAGTCAAAGATCTCTGTATATTAAACATTTATAATACATGCTCTAGATTATAAACAATCAGGTAAATAACTAACCTCCTGAATGTAATCCAGGATTATTATAGCCCATGACTTTTTTTCAAAGATATTTAATTCGAAGAATCTTACTGACTACAGCATACTGAAAAAAGATTGAGTGTTCCACCTGGCTAATGACATCATTGGTTCTTGGCCTCTCCCTCAGTTGAGACATTTGACAAATAACTGAGACATTTCAGGGTTTTATACCACAGTGGCCACCCAGAGTTCTCATTCTGACTCCCTGACAAGAGTACCATTGTTCAAAGTAACCCATTTTGAAAGTGGAGTAAGATTAGAGACGGGCAAAATACAGCCCACGGGCCAGATCCAGCCTGCCAGGTCATTCTACCTGGCCTGTGGGGACCCTAAAAAATGTAGAAAATTAATATTTATCTGCTCCTGGTTGTCCGTCAAAGATGACAGGAGCCAGGGGCAGTAGGACCCAGGGGGAGCCAGCAGCAGGATGCAGACCAGCCCTGCCCCACCTCCAGCTGTTTCCCTGCCTTCCTGCCCCCGCACTGCTCCACCAATGGCTCCTGGCTGCATCACTGGACTGCAGGAGCACAGAGCCCACACCAGTACCATAGAGGGGGGTGTATATGTGTGTGTGTGTGTGTGTGTTGTGTGTGTGTGTGTGCATGTGTATGTCTGTGTGTGTGTAGGGAGGGACTGTGTGTGTGTGTGGGTGTGCTCGTAGGGCAAGTCCCACATGCACACCGCACTGCCAGACACGCAGACCCCCACACCGACACCCCCTCACTCATGCCAGCTGCCCTCCCTTCCACACACAGTTCCCCACAAACCCCATACCCATCCACATATCCACACACACACCCACATGCTCCCTCACCCCACACACCCCACACCTATCCACCCCCCACAGAACCACCCATACCCTTCCCCACACCCCACATACCCACACACCCACAGCCCCCCACAAACTTATACCCACTCCTATGCCCCCCACCCCCCACAGTATACAAGAATAAGACTTAATTTAAGTTATTGCGCAATCACCTCTATGTACACTACACAAACGCATGTAAATCAGGACAAAAATATTTTTTTAAATCAGATTAATGAATGTTGTAGATGTTTGATTTTTAGAATATAATTTGCTATTTTTCTGGTTCCAAGACGGCAAAATCCCCTTGCTGAAAGGAGTACTTGCAAGGGCAAGGGGTGGGACTTCTGGTGGCAAAGGTCAGGGGTTAGGGGGCAGGACTTCCAGTCACAAGGTGGTGACCAGGGGGCAGGGTGCTTGTCAAGGGGCACGGCTACCCATGCAGCCCTCAACTGCTTGCCAAATCTCAGTAAGCGGCCCTCTGCCCAAAATAATTGCCCACCCCTGTGTAAGATTTCCGTTTAGTGTGAACTAATCACGTTCCAACAGAAGTGGGCTAGTGAGCACCTGCTGCTGGATGCTTGGTCAGTGCTGAGACTGTTCAAACCCCAGCACAGCTCCCACCTTTTTAACAGTATCAGGACTTTCCAGTACTGTTCAAAGGGCAGAGTGGCTTCCTGATGCCACTTGAAACATTTTGGGTCCAAGCAGCAGTGGCTACTGCTTCCTCCCCCTGCCATTTCTTGCACAGTCCTGCGTCTCCCCAGGACTGTCTTAAGGGGGCAGGGGGCATTTTCTTGTGGTTTAAACCATCTCCAGGAAACCTGGAGACACTCCCTCATCCCTGCTTTCAATGTCCTGTATCTTCCTGGGACTGTGCAAAGAGTAGAGGGAAGGCCTGTGGAGGAAGGGACAAGAGGCATTGGAGAGCAGTTCTCACCCTGATACCTTTCAAGGAAGGGGGAAGGTGCTGGCCTTGGCAGCAGCTGTTTTTCAGCAGCTGCCAATTGACTATTGACAGCCTGCCCACTTTCAAGGCAGGGGAGAGGGTAGGTTGTCTATAATCAGGCTCCCCTGGGTGAAGGGGAAACCAAGAAGCAGTTCTCTGTCACCCCTGACTGGAGAGCTTTGACTGTGTAGCTCTCCAGCCAGGGGCCTGGAATGCCTGTATGATTCTCTTCTTGCCACATTTTTATGGCACTGGAAATTTTTGAGGGGTCACATTGAATACCTGTCCATAACCTTTGGCTGTTTGAAGACCTTTAAAACCCCCCCCACCCAAAATGGCACTTTAAACTCAGTGCGTTCCCACACTGAGCCCAGTGCATGCCCAGAAGAGGCAGTGAATTAGCTGGACCCAGCTTGTCCAATGTTTGTATCGATCAGGCACTTTAGTGTGGCTTTTTGGCAGTTTCATATAATAGCTAATTGAATCAGCTTTAAAGAAAAGCACCAAAAAGCCTTGCTGAAGTGCCCCAATCTACAAAGATGCTGTGGAACTGGGTCACAGTAACGTGCTGCTTCTTCCAGCAAAGGACAATATTTAATTTTATCTTTTTTGGGGGTGGGGGTTATGTCTCCAGGCAGCCTATGTGTCTAGTCTTGTAGGCAGAGCAGCAGTTCAGCAATCTTTCTTAACCACTGTACTCCTTGACTAAAAAGTTGATTAGGGATAGGGAACAGAAGCAAAAGTTTCTACCCACCATAATAGCTCTCTGCCTGCAAATCTTTGTTTTGTCATGGGATAGAATTCAAAGTTTGCATGGTGTGTAGAAACATCTAAACCCATCCCTCCCCCACCAAATCTTCTCCAAAGGCACCTCTTCAAAGTAGCAGCAGAACTGTAGACTTCATGAAGCCATTTGAGAAACTTTGTAAGTATAATTAATTTTTCTGTAATGGTCCAAAGAAAATCTATATTTTATACAGAGAAGTTATGATATGTAACTACAAATACTGATTTTGAAATAAGTGAAGAAATAAGTCATATCTTCTTTTTCCACTTTGCAGTGGCCCAAAGAAGCACTTCTTTCCGTGTCAAAGACATTTTTCCGAAATGTTGATCTTGGAAGTTATGAGATGAAAGAGAAGCTATCAGTAATGTGTGTAGATATTCACATGAGTGTAACTGAAATGGCAGATCAATATTATGCTGAGCTGCGGCGACGGTATTATACTACACCCACTTCATATCTAGAATTGATCAATCTCTACCTGACAATGCTGACAGAAAAAAGGAAGCAGTTGGTTTCAGTAGGTTTCATATTATTCAACACAACCTTTGCTATATGTTTCAGAAATATTTCTCACTGTCCAGAGATTTTGTTTATTATTCTTTCTTTGCAGTGCTGCAGCTCGAATTGCTTTATTCATTAATTCAATAGCTTTGTTTTCTAGTAAGCCAACCTAATTTCCTTCCCTAGTACCAATTATTAGAGGAAGGATTTGTTAAACTCTAATTTACTTTTTACTTTTATGCAGTTTGTTACCTTTCTGTAGTTCATTCAACATTGAAAGTGGGGAAAAAACAAGTCATTTCTCTTTCTGCTTCTCTTGCCTTAGTCCTATGCTGTAGAACTTGGGTTGCAAACACTGCAATAGAATGTCTAACTCCAAACCAAAGAAAACATAAGAGAAAAAAATTGTATTTTTAAATACATCTTGGAGATATTTCTAATAATATCCATTACTATCATTTTTTCTAATATTTAACAAAAATTAATGTTGAACCTATATTTATGGGTATGGCTAGTTTATTAGTTTATTCTAATTACAATGGTTTTTATTTTATATTTTTCTTATATTTTTATAAATACTGTTACATCCATATTAACATATTTTTTATTATACCACACCTGGAAAAGCAGCTTCCATTGTAAAAATCAGAAATTATTACAGGCTGCACAAGTTGGATGAAACTTGCCAGAATTTAAAAAAATATCCTTGAACTTACATTTGGCATGTCCATGTTTGAGAGCTTTTTGGAATCCACGTTTGGAAAAAATGAAGAATTTTTCCAACTATTTGAGTTGGTCTAATAAAAGATATTAGATTTACCCAAAGAACCGTGTCTGCCAATAAACATCTGATGCATTCTTACTGTACTTTAGGCTCGGGATCGTGTGAAGAATGGTTTATCCAAGCTATTGGAAACAAATGAGCTTGTAGATAAAATGAAATTGGATCTCTCAGCTCTAGAGCCAGTCCTGAAGGAGAAATCTGTGGATGTCGAGGCTTTGATGGAAAAATTAGCAGTGGATCAAGAAAATGCTGATCAGGTACAAATAATTTTCTTATAGTATTTATGATATAACGTATGTGACTGCTCAGAATGTCATTGAATAAAGTAGTTGTTTTAAGAATTATTAATAATAGACTCTATGTTGTCCTGTGTTTAATAGTGTGGAAGAGAAAGGCCTAAAAGCATGGGAATAAACCTTTAAAGGGAGTACATACTGGCAGGGAAATATAGTTAAACAATATTATCTCTTGCTCTGCTCTTTCACCAGCACAAATTTCAGGCCAGATCCAAAGCAAGATATGGGTCCCTTCAAGTGACAGGCAGGAACAATTATAGGTTTTTGTCACCCAGAAATGGGGGCTGGGTACATGAAGCCCTTCAGAAGGGTAATCCAAATAAACCATCCAGTTCATGGAGAACTGCTTGCCTCTATCCACTAGAGAACACTAAGCACATGTCTAAAGCTCTGCATCTTTCCAGAGCATAGGTACTTGACTCACCCTGCAGGCAAGCCCACCATTTAGGTTCCAAAAGCTCCTGAGAGTGCCCTAGCCAGTAGGCTACAGTCATGGTCTTTCTTGCTTGAGATCTCTCATGCACCTTGCATTCCTTTCTGTACAGTGGCCTTGCTTCAACAGGAAGGATGGGGGCCCTCCCCTACAATTAGATGATATAGTCTTGCGGTGAGGATATTCCCTTGGCAAGTGTGGGTTGACAGTATGAATCCCTGCAGGCTCAATAGGGCACTAAACCCAGGACTTGCACTTCATGGGCAAATGTCCTAACCATAAGGGCATTGCATAAGAGGTGGGCCCAACCACCTACTGCTTTGACTATGCTCTAAAAAGAAAACAGCTACTGGCTTCAGTGCTGAGAGGTCCAGTCTTACTACTTTTTGTTAGACAAGCTTCAATCATACTGACAGAGATCAGGCCCTTCTAGGAACTTTAGTGCTGCTTTTTGGATGCCAGTAAGATACAGACAAGAAGCTAGATACTAGCTGTTCAGACTAGAAGTTGTGGTGCAGAAGCAGAACTGCAAGTGCCTAAGGAATTTTCAGGCCAATGGGAAGCCCCTGTTGAGTCCGGCTTCCCTTGCGCCTAGGCAGCATCATGGAGGGGAAGGGGAGCGTCATTGCAATTTTGGACTTAGGGGCCTAAAGTTTGCTTTAGTCTTGCTTAGCTTTAAGAATTATCAAAACTGCTTCTGGATTACAGTTCTCAGGATAAAATTCTCAGGATTACAGCTGCCAAGAGGAGACCAGTGGAAGTTCAGCACTGCACTCTGTCATGTTGCCAGTGGCTGGCTAGAGATTTCTGTGGCTTGGCTTGACCTGCATATCCTTGGTCTTTGCTGACCATTGTTTCTCAAATGTGAAATTCCTTCAATTAAACACACTGTGCATGTGTAAGAATAAGTGAAGCTACTGCATAATTCTGAAGCAGCTGACATATGTTAAATTAAAAGCGTGACGGGATCTGATCCCTGGTCCCAAAAATTGCACCTCCTGCCATGCCACATGTATGTGGCAGGAGGCACAATTATGGGATCAGGGATCAGATCCTAATCATTCCATTTTGCTGGTGCATGGGGAGCCCGGGACCATGAACCTGGGCTCCCTATGTACTGGCAAGTAGCATCCTTGGCTTTCATGCTCTCCCCCACTCCCAACCAGGTTGGTATACAGGAGACAAGGGCTTCAATGCACTGTCCTGTCTGGGAGCCCAAATCAGTTGGTGCTGCCAGCTGTGGGACCACATGGAGCCTTTGGATTCTGTGCACTTCACTGGCTGGGAGTGCTGATCAAGGCTCCCAGCTGTAGAACTACATGGTGTTGCCCCCTTGTAATATGACCTGGTAAGTGGCTCCTTCAGACATTACAGCAGTGACCTTCAGTGGTACCAGCCTCAGATTCTCTGCTGGGTGTGTGGGATGTTAGTTTCTGGTTTCCTTGTTGTTTGAACAAGAATTCCAAGGTTGCTCCTGTCTCCCCAGGGTGGCAATGCAAATGCACACTGTCTCTTTGTTTGTCCAGTACTTCTGTAACTTTGTCATCTCAAACTGTCCAATCCTCAAGTTTTAGCTCATCTTTTTAGATAAGGTACTCCAATCCTATTCCATTTTTGGTTCCTTTCCTTCTAGAAAAAGTACTGTATCTGGTTAGCCCACTGTTCCAATCACAGCACTCAGTTTTCCTAGTGCCTTATAAGGAACTCCATACAATTTGATTGCTTAGTTTCGGGAAGGCCCAAGGTTATCCTAAGAGCCTGAGCATAACTCAGCTTGCCTGCTACACTCCCTTCCTTGATCTCCCGGAATATGGTGGCATCGCATAGGTATTGGTTGACCTCTCACATGTGACTCAAGGCATGTGGGTTGCTACCACATCGGAGACACATCTTCTCGTGAGCAGGCCATCATGTTCTGTGTGGAATTATTTTATGGGGAGTTTCGGAGGAGAGCCTTTAACTCTTCTGCCCTCATGAATTGGATAATTGATAATAGGATTCTCAGAACTAAGACCACCACAAGGGGGTGTGAGGACACATTGAGGATGTGGTTCACAATGGGTGACTAACCAAACCGAGTTTTTTATCAGTGGTGTTGAGTGGTATCTTTAATATCTTGGAGGACTCAAACAAGTTTTCTTTGATTTTTGGATGATAACAGAGACTTTGTTAGCTGTATTTTGAACTGCATTGATTTTCTGTAACAGGGTCAGATCTTGTAGGACTGAATCATTTTGGGGGACCAGACATGTTTTTGGCAATTTTACCCTTTTTATACAATGGGCAGTGCTTTCTTTGTTGTTTTAAATGGTACCAGTGCCCCTTTGTTCTGCAAGTTGATGGAGAAATGCCCTTTCTCTGCAAACAGCATGTCTGGTTTCTATTGAGGATCCCATCATTTCACTTCTTGTTTTAGATCTTTATATAAATTTTAAAAATTAATAAAGCTACAATACATTATTATTTCTATTATAAAAAGCTAAAATACATATTTAGCACAAACAAAGCAAAAAACAAAAAAAACCCAAAACCTAAAGGACACCATTAAAAAAAAATACAAGAAAAATAAACTGTTAATCAAGCCTTCTTCGTTTTTGGCATGGCTGAACTCTTTGAGGCCCTGGAGGCAATGCTCCATGTGACCCACCATTTTTCATAGCCACTGTGCAGATATTTCATAGCCTATCAAGAAGTTCCATTTATATTTACATAGTTAGTATCATAACCACTTATAACAATAACACTGCATAAATGCAGCCAAACAAACAAGACAATTACTATATATAATACAATCAAGCTTGATTCTTCTTTATACTAAGCAAACTTCTTGATGCTTCAGTGGTGGTTCACCTCCTGCAAACCACAAAGAGAAAAAAGGGAGGGGCTCAAGCCCCTTAGGTTAGTTCAGGTCATGGAATCACTTTTGACACTGGCTGGGTATGCCCAGAGATTCCCCTTCTTGCTCTTTGAGGCTGCTTTTTAGCAGTTTTTTCTTTGTTAAAGATAGAGGTTCTCCAACATGTACCCTGCCACACATCTTTCCTCCTTGGCCTTCACCAAGGGTTTTTCTGTTGGGGTGTGCTCCCCCTATCCTTCTCCCATCAAAGGGTAACCCACAAGGCAATGGGAGCCAGGGTTTTCTGGCGCCCTGTACTCATCTTTCTCTGGGGTGGCAATACGTGGCATTTTGTAAAGACTACCCTGCCACAAGTAGCTCCATCACATTAACCAGTCCCAGGAAGGTGTAGTTTTTAGGTCTGACCCAGGACTAATTTCTAGGCTTTCCTGCCTTGGTTATTTTTACTTTCCATGGGAAACTAGTTGAGATTTCAGGGTTTTCGCTCTGGCAGTTTTAGCAGTGGTCTCTTTTAACCTTTTGACCTCTTTCGGACTCTGCCTCTGGATTGCCAGACCCCTTAGGTTTCCAGCTGTGTCCTCCAGACTTTGACCCCTCTCTGGCAGCTGGCCCTGTGAACACTTGCCTCTCCGGGGCTGAAGACCTCTCATCAAATCTTTCTCTCTCTTGGCTCTACTTTGAGCCTCTGGACCTGTTTGGTATCACTCTTTTCAGCAATTCTTTGAAATTCCCATACTTTCTGAACAAAACATATTATGGGTTAATACATATTTAAAGCTTTGTGTTATCATCAAGATTGTATCTGACATTTACCATAGAACCTGTGTGCCTCTTTAGATGGGATATATACCACCAGAAAGTTTTTTTTTTTTAATATGCTGGCCAATTTATAACAAATCCTTTAATGATTTGAATTGCAACAGGTAGACCTGTTTTAAGTTTACCATAGCTACCCAAACAACACTGTATCATTACTGAACCAAATTTAGTTTTGATTTTTAACCATTTTTTTAAACACAGAGGTTCTAAGTTCGGGGAAGCCTCAACGTGCAGGCTTTTATTTCCTGTAAAACAACGGGTTAATGCAGTTTTTCTCACACATCCTACTATGTTGGTATTGTAAATAGCATTTACATACAGATTTTCTTTATAACCTTAAAAACATTTTATCAGTTGGTTTGCTAAAAGCATACACATTATTTTTCAATAAATGTCATTTTGCTAATCAAATGGAATTTACAACTTACAACTTTTAGATGAATTGCTGTCCTTTGTTTTAAATATTAGAACAACTTTCCAGTCCAAACTGTATGGAAGTGTTCTGGTCTGGGATCCACAGACAAATTCAATTTTAGAGAGGATATTATTAACAATTTTTTTCACATCTTTATAATATTCATATGCATGTAAAATCTTAAACCAAGGAAACAACAAATAACAAGACAATAAGACAAACAATATAAAATAGACAAAACAATTTTGTTATAATAATAAAGCCATCGCTTAGGTGGCACTCACTTTTCCTAGTGCCTTATAAGGCACTCTGTACAATGTAACTGCTTAGTTCTGGGAAGGCCTAAGGTTATGCTAAGAACCTGACCATAACTCAGTTTGTCCACTACACATGGGAGTCAAAGGTTCCCATGCCCTCCTGCAGCTAGGAGCACTGATGAGGTGACTGGCACTCCTGCCCTCAGGAGCACACTGGAGTCTTGGATGGCTCGGGTGTGCTCCTGAGTCTGGGAGCACTGGCCATACATTCAATTTATGGCCTGATGGGAACCAGCCACAGAATTATTACACATAATTTGTATAATAACTTTATTCCTTATTTTGTCATGCCATTAACCGAATGAATATTTGACTGGGTCACCACTTAAGACGTGATTAACCAGTTAATCAGGTCTTAAGTGTAACATCTCTCAAGGGCCTAACTGACACATTTTATGTAAAACTGTAAAGGAAGCAATGGGGGTTAACAATAGGTCTGTGCAAGGCTTCAGACACAGCGTCAGATCCGGAGAAGCTTCGGATGCTTCGGCATCCAAAGCAGCATGTCCAGATAGAAGCACTGGCTTTGTTAGGTCTAATTACCTCTATATCGAAGCGGTTCGGAGCTTCCAAAGCGCTTTAGAAAAGCTTCGAAGCCATCTTGGAGATCCGGCCATAGGGTATAATGGGGAAACAATTAAATATCTAAAACTTTGTTGTTTTTTGTCTTATTTGGATGAAATTTGTAGGGATTGTAGTCTCTGCTGACAGCATGAACCTGCCAAGTTTAAAGAAGATTGGTGCAGGGGTTCTGTGGGAATTGCAACCCAAATTCTTGAAAGCAAAACTGATGTTACCTGTATGTGTTACATCACAGGGGGGTGAAAACTGCGAGGATGGTAGCCCTCGCCAAGGCCACAAAGTCTGCCAAGTTTCAAGAAGATCAGTCAGAGACAGTCAATTGCACAAGCATCCATGTCATGAGTTTTGCTTGTCTGCAGCTTGAGGTGCAGTTCCCAAGCCCCTGCACCTATCTTCTTGAAACTTGGCAGACTTTTTGGCCTCACCAGGGGCTACCACCCGTACAGTTTTGACCCCCCTGTGTTGTAACACATACACATGACATGAAGTTTGCTTTCAAGAATTTGGGGTACAGTTCCCCCAAACTCCTGCACTGATCTTCTTGAAACTTGGCAGACTTCATGTTCTCAGCAGGGGCTACCACCCGCTGCCGACTCATGCAGGCCTAGTTAACAAGTACATTAAAGTAGCAAGTCAGAACAAATACAATTTTTAAAAAACATTATCGTGTTTTGCAAATATTTCATTGGCCATTTACTTTTCAGGTTCGTCGTATTGTTCAAGAAGATGAAGCTGTTGCAAAAGTGAAAGCAGAAGAGACTCAGGCAATAGCTGATGATGCTCAGCGAGATCTGGATGAAGCCCTGCCAGCTTTAGAGGCTGCAAACAAAGCTCTCGACTCCTTGGATAAAGCAGATATCTCTGAAATTAGAGTTTTTACCAAGCCACCAGATCTTGTCATGACTGTAATGGAATCAATCTGCATTCTTCTGAATGCAAAGTCAGTCATTCAGTGCTCTTAAGTTCCTTTAATTTGTTTTGATTTACCTTTATTTTTAGACTTTGATTTTTTCCAGGACACTTCCCTAGTAAAATGCTTTGTATGATTCTAATTACCTCTATATCAAGTTCACACATTAACAGGATGATGTTAATGTAGAGCATATCCTGGGCTGAATCAAGGTGTGGGCATATAAATAAATTACTACAAGGTAAAAAGGGAATGAAGATTTACTGTGTCAGTTGCTGTTTTGCAGCTGTTCATTTGTATGCTCTTAACCTGGTATAGATTAAAGCTAATAGTATCCTGCTGCTTTTGTTGAGGGCTAAGTTATTGCAGGTTGGTTTTTACTTATCACAGGATTAAGAGCATTTACTTGGGCATTTGCTGGGTATCAGTAGACTTGCTGTAAATCCCCACTCTGCCCCCTTTTAACCTTAGTAAATTGTTTATATGCCCTTGCTCTCCAGCTGTTGTCTCCTTGACAAATACACCGTGACCAAAAGAAACTTGGGGGTCTTGATTGACCACAAGATGAATGTGAGTCACCAATGCAATGCTGTAGCTGGAAAGCAAACCAAACTCTGACATGCATCCACCAGTGCATCTCAAGCCAAACAAGGGACATCATCCTCCTGCTCTACTTGGCCTTAATGAGGCCGCAGCTGGAGTACTGTGTCCAGTTTTGGGCCCCTCACTTGAGGAGCGATGTGGATAAGCTTGAGAGAGCCCAAAGGAGAGCCACCCACATGATCAAAGACCAAGAGGACAAGCCTTATGAGGAGAGGCTGAGGGACATGGGACTTTTCAGCCAGGAGAAGACAAGGCTCAGGGGGGAGCCTTAGACTGGACATATGGAAAAATTTCTTTACAGTCTGAGTGTCCAGGGTCTGGAACAGACTCCCGCCAAAAGTGGTGCAAGCACCTACTCTAGACTCATTCAAAAGGTGTTTGGATGCATATCTTGCTAGGATCATTTGATCCCAGCAGACTTCCTGCCCATGGCAGTGGGGCTGGACTCCATGATCTCATGAGGTCCCTTCCAGCCCCTAATATCTATGAAAAAATAGCTCTCTGGCTACAGTGGATATGAAGTTTCAGTAATATCCACTAGAGAGAAGAGTGCTTAGTAGAATGCTTTGTTTAACTTCGGGGGGGTGGGGGGGAGGGAGGTCCACACTAAACATCTAATAGACCACATGTACATATTTTTTCTCTTAACTGGGGGGGTGGGGGTGGAGAAAGGATAAATTATAGCTACATGACATACTTGGTTGATTCTTTGGTACAAGTAGTTGGTACATGACGGCTTTAATGTACTTGGGCCACATTCTGCTTTTTGTTCTAAATGAGCAATTATCCAAGAGCGTGAGAATGTGCTGATATATCTGAAGAAGAAGAAACAACTCGTGTCCCAAATCTGTTTACAGATTGATTGAATTGGTGAAATGTTATAACAAAAAAAAAAGAAATTTATAATGATCTAATGATGGTAAAGAAAAGCATTTGGTATGGAAAACCACATTTTTAGAAGCTGAAAGTACCACATGTCACTTTTTTCCTTTTTACACAATATTTGATTATTTTCTGAGTATCATGGAGGTTTTTTATTCTCAAGCCGGTCTATAAAGAAACTATAATTGTTTTGATTTCTTTAATACATCAAATGTAATATTAATTTGAGATTGACTTGCTTTTTAATGTCTGCTTTCACATCTGTTTTAAAAGTCAAGTTATTTCTCAAGTAGCTTTTGAACCACTGAATAACTACCATTTTTATCAGTTTCTGTTGATAATTTATTCCTTGATTGATATCAGCTACAGGAGCCCTTGGATAAAAACCTAAATTGTTTTACTTCTCTTAATTTTAAAGCTACATTGATTCACATAATCTAAAAATTTGCCTAAATTAAAATCTCATATATAATATAATATATTTTTACATAAGGGCCAGGTGGTAATATGACCACATGTAACATCTTTTTACTAGCATTGCTTCATATGTGCCAATCCAAATTTTTAAATTTTATATGAATTTCCAGGAAAAACTAGACTCCATAAATTCATTATAAAAAGAGTTTAGTTATTTCCTTGGTATAGGACCAAATCATAGAGGAAAATCATGTGGTGATGAAAGAGAGAAACAGGGCCCAAGTTTTTTGACTAAAAGACTGTTTAAGAGATTAAATTATGAGGGGTGCACCAATAGAGATTTTTGGAGCCAATACCAATAGCCAATTTTTAAGGAGGTATATCGGTTGATACCAGTCCAATTTCTGATACACAGCCCAGCAGCTTCAAGAGTAGTGTCTGGCTGGTAAGACTGTTGTGATGGAAGGGGAGGAGGAAGAGAAGGGGTGTGGTAGGGGGCAGATTGACGCCCCTTCAGTGAGGGAGGGAGTGGGGCTAGGGCAGGGACTGGGGCTGGGGCAGGCACTGCCCAGTTCGGGTGTGACGCTTGACGGAGCCACGGCTCCTCCAGGGGGTGTGGGGAGGGAAGGTGGCTCCTGCCCCTACGCACAGCCCGGGAGGGCACAGTGGGCACGTGCCACCAGATCTGTATGAGGCAAGGGCGGGATGCTGCTGTGGGCTGAGGCTGGGGCTGCACCAGGCTCTTCCCAGAGGGGGCTGGGCTGGGCTCAGCTGCACTCAGGGCAGGGAGTGGCGCCGCTGGGAGCAGGACTACGGTGAGGCTGCAGCCACCCCAAAATTCACCGTAGCCCCCCAACCTCCCCCTCCCAGTGCTGCTGCCCACCCCTCTCTGAGTGCAGCCTAGCCCAGACCCTGCCGGGGAGAGCCTGGTGCAGCCCCGGCCCCAGCCTGTAGTGGCATCCCACCCTGCCCCGTGTAGATCCGGGGGCACCACCCCCCATGCCCTCCTGGGGTGCATGCAGTGGTGGGAGTGCCCCCACCCCTGGTCCCTGGACAAGCTGTGGCTCCATCTTGCACTCCGCCCCAGCTGGGCAGTGCCTGCCCCAGCCCCACTCCCTCCCTCACTGTGGGGGCCTTGATCTGCCCCTCTCTCATGCCCCTTCCCTCCCCCTTCCCCTCCCACCACAACAGACTTACCAGCTGGATGCAGCTCTCCAATCTGCTGGGCTGTGCTTACCACCTACATGCTGTAACTGCACGCATGTACAGGGCATTTATCAGCAAAATTATTGGGTACATCAGGCAAAAAAAGCCAATTTCCGATATAGTCAATTTTCTTTATATTGGTGATGATCTGATATCAGACTGATGTATTGGTGCACCTCTACAAATTACATATGCAAGGCTGTTGTTACTTGGCTGGAACTTCAGTACCAGCAAGCTATAGGGTTCATTTTGCTAGGAAAGAAGGAACTTTGACTGCATGCCTTTGAAATATCATTATAGATCAGTTTAAATCCAGGGAGGTGCTATAGTTAAAGTCACACTTTCACAAAGCATTAAGGTCCCAACTCTTACCTTATTTAGTGCAGCAGATTTACAGTCTTGTTGCACATAGCAATTCTTAGCCTCTCTCTAGAAAGGACTATCACTTTGCTTCCAAGTGTCATGAAGTGGAAGTCTATGCTACACCATTAATTGCATATGATACAGAAATTTAACTCATGTCATGTTGTTTTTATCAAGCGTGGTTGTGGTGAAGCACTTCAGAACCTTTTGCAGAGCAAAATGACTTTGCCTAAAATGTGTGACTTCAGATTATGTAACATTTTGCTTGCAGGGCAAAGCTTTCTAAGATTCTGTCACTCTTGTTTTTTTTAATCTTTCAGGCCTGACTGGGCAACAGCTAAACAGCTCCTTGGAGACTCCAACTTCCTTAAAAAACTTCTTGAATATGATAAAGAAAATATAAAGCCACAAATATTGTTAAAGCTTCAGAAATATATAAATAACCCAGATTTTGTGCCTGAAAAAGTAGAGAAGGTGTCAAAGGCGTGTCGGTCGATGTGTATGTGGGTGAGGGCTATGGATTTATATTCACGAGTTGTGAAAGAAGTTGAGCCAAAAAGACAAAAGTTTAATGCTGCACAGGTAAATGCTACACCTTTCAAGGCACTTTGTCATCTCCAGTGATTGTATGGACATTATTATTATTTGCATTATGATCATGCCTAAGATCACTGGTCATAGACCAGGATTGTTTTACATGGTGCTGTACAAACTGAGATCAAAAAGTTCAACCCAGTTCAAAGAGCTGGCAGTCTAATAGGACTTTGGCAGATGTTACATGTATGGTGCAATTATTGTGTTAATTGCACCATGCCACATGTTCAGCCAGTTTATGGCTCCATAAAATGGTATCATGATGTACTGGGAGTAATGAATGGGACTGCACAAAGGGCAGCTAGCAATCAAGATGGCAGCTGGTCCCTCATTCCTCCTCCCTCCCCGGGCCTCCCTGCCAATCGGTGCTGAGGGGCCAGGCCTCTGCCAATCAGCACCTAGGGGCAGGACTGCTGTGAAATGCCTGCAAAATTAGCTCTGCATGCAGGTTGCAAAAATCTTTTGTTTTGCCGTGATTTAGGTAGGTCCCTACCTATAAATTCAGCAGTGGAACACTGATGGGTTACCACATGACTGTGTGTCCACTGAAAATGGGATTCTTGTGACTCAGGAGCAATGGTGGCCACTGATGAATGACCCCAAGACTAAGTGAGTGCTACTAACAGACAATACCAATACTTTTCCAAGTACCCAGCCACAAAGATATTCCACAAAACAGCAGAACATTTTTGCTCTCATAGCTGGGAATTGAACGTGTAGCCTGTTTTGTGTTCCAGACACAAGACTGCCTCACTAATGCTGACAATCAACTGATAGTCAGCATTGTCACCCCAGGGCTGAATGAGGCCGAGGCTGTCTGGAGATTAGCTGATTGCTAGCTTTGGATGTGGTAGCCCCATATCTGGAACCAGGCAGCATAGTAGGGACAGGTCTGGGTCCCAGCCAGGACCCTGGGCTGCCTATACCTGATCTTGATGCTCAGCTGAATGCTGGGATGAGACACAGGGCAGTTCCAGGGTCCAGATAGAGTTGCCCCCTTCCCGATCCACAGGATCAGGCTGAGGTTAGCTTCAGCAGTTGCATAGTTGGAAACTGAGAAATGTTATGCCCCATCTCAACCATTGCAGCTGCTGTCACGCCACACATGCATAGTAGGATGCTCAGTTGGCATGGGGCAAAAATCCTTCAGATCCCAATCATGCCATTATTTTAATAATTGCCATGACCCATAAAATCTTTATAATCCAGGATGTTTCTTTTAGCACTGCTGGTCCAGTCAAACAGAAAATAACCTTGTAAGGTGAATCAAACCTCAGCTTGAAAAACTACTGTTTGTTCCAAGAATACATGTCCTCTTCCTCCTGCTCATTAATGCTGTATTAAATGTTAGCCATGTAGGCTCTTCATTAAATAGCATAGACTTCCCATATGGAGCAATCAAGCACTTGTAAATGGTACAGGCAGGAAGATTCTCCAGGACTGATTAAGCCCAACTTATCCAGGGTGACTTTTCCTAGATATATGGTCCAGATGAGACTTTCACCACTACTGTATTCCTGTGGTGTCAAAATTAAAACTAGGGACAAGACAGACTAGTGGGCTTGACAGTTTCTTGCCATCTTTTCCAGAAATATGGACACATTCATGAAAATTCAGTTTTACAGATAAGTCAATATTCTACATCAAGGACAATTGGGTAGACTCCTCATTTATATGCAGCAGCAAAATAAGCAATCTGTTTTTCAAAAGCATGGTTCCTAATGCTCCATTGATTTTTGGCTTTTAAAAAAACCAGTTAAACCCCTGTTTAAACAACCTAGCTTATATGTTTGCCTCATGCCCCTAGGCTGAGCTTGATGCTACAATGGCTACCCTTCAAGAGAAACAGAGAAAATTAAGACAGGTGGAAGAGCAGATACAGGCTCTGCAAGACCAATATGAAAAGAGTGTTGAAGAAAAAGAGAACCTTGGTAGGTGATTTCTCTCAAAAATATTAAGTAACTAGATTAGTGTTTCATATTCATTCTTCCATTATACAAAGGGTGGCCATACATCCTGGTTTGGCCAGGACAGTCCTGGATTTTGTAGGCTGGTTTGTGAAAATTGAAACAAAAGTCCTGGAATTGCAGGGGCGCAGGTCACAGTCCAGCAAGGAGGTGAAGCAGCATGGTGCACCAGGCAGGCACTGCTGCTGCTGCGAAGCAGCAAGGCAGGTGGACTGGAGCAGGCACCACCCCACCCATATGTGCCCAGCCCAGCTCTTCCTCAGAGGCAGCTAGAGATGGGGGGCAGACTGGGCACCCACTTTCCTCTCACACAGCAGCAGCGGTGCCTGCCCACCCACCTGCCTGACACACCGTGCCACTCTGCCTCCCCACCAAACAGTACCCCATGCTCCTGCCTGCCTGCATCTGCTTGCAGCAATGCCACTGACTTGGTGGGGGGTAGGAGCAGTGTCCTGCATTTCCTTAAAAATATGGATACCCTAATTCAGGGGTGGGCAATTATGTCTGGAAGGCCACTTAACAAGTTTTGGTAAGCTGTCATGGGCCTCATGGGAAGCCCCACCCTTTGACAGCTATCCCACCCCCTGGTTGCCATATACTATAACACCTACTATAATATATTTTATTATAAAAAATATTTGTCATGATTTGTGTTTGTGTACTGTATATAGAGGGGATTGCATAATAACTCAAAAATAAAGTCTTACTTTTCTATATTGTGTGTGGGGTATGGCTGGGGTGGACATGTGTGTATGGTGGGGGGTATGTGTGTATGTATGGTGAGGTATGGGGGGGTTTGTGAGGGGGTGTG